CGTTGTAGAATTAAAGCAGTGTGCCTGTGAAACTCAAGGGTAGAGGTTTGTCTTTTATATGACAATCATGGAGTCAAAACAAGCGGTAGGTATTGATTACGATTCATTTTTACCTACTAAGTTTTAGAATAATATGTTTGAGAGTTATTAATTATAGTATTTTGGCACTTGTGTATAAAGTTAAAATCATAAGCCTATCCGTCAACTTTTTGAAGGCCATGACTCTACATGTTTCAACGTTACAACCTAAAAACATATTCAAACAAAAAAGGAAACTAACTTAACTATAATTTTTCAAATCTATTCTTTACTCATTTTTGACACAAAAAAAAAAGATCATACTGGCAATCTTTCAACTGTTAAAAATGGTACAAGTTGAGAAACCTTTGCAAAATACCAGTTATAGCTCCCATTAACTCCTTATGCATTTTCTAGTTTTGAGGATAAATCCCTTCTGGAATAAGAGCTTTTCTTCTCAATAAATCTACCAAAATTTTCAACAACATCTTTTTAAATAAACATAAATAGAATTTAACAAGAATTATCTCAACCTTTAAAAAAATTGGACAGCTTAGTTCATCTCTCATCATTACTACAGAAACTTAAATAATAATGGTCCTTTTTAAAATCTTAAAGGCAAACGATATTACCCTTAACTCTATTTGCATGATATTTTGAGCCAAGATATTTTAATACTCCTTTTTAGCCTTAATAATAATTTTTGGCTTATTTCTTTTTATTTTAGAACTGGTGAACAAATACAGAAAAGGATAAAAACTGAATTAAAGAAAGAAAGTAAAGTGTAATAATAAACTGATATTTTCTTTCATTGACAGAATATAACTAGCTGGGTTCTTTGGAGATGTTGTTTTGGAACCTTTGCTAGTCATTGTTTATATTAACAATTCCAATAGCTTCTTAGACAGAAGCATCTTCACATTCCCTGATGATTGCTAAGATACTGAGGTTAGCCAATTCTTTTGAAAGTATATCTATTGTCCAAATGAAGCTTAACAGTTCTTATTAATGAAGATAAAGATGGTTGATAAAACACAAAACATTAACTAGGTTCAAATGTTTCGGAATACACTCATTCCATCTCCAACAAAATCTGAAAATTGTGTTACAGAGATGATTATTAACTAAAACTGTAATATTATAATCACTAGTTTACTTAGTTATTAAGAGAAGTGATAGATGGAAGGATAAAACAACAAAGAATTATAGACATCTTGCAAAACAGTTGAGTTTTAAGTGTGAAAATTTAGAATAGTTTTATATCTAAAGAGCTTTGTGAGTCGCTAAGAGTCGAGCAGTCTTTTAGTGTAGAGTTCAAGTTCTGAATATCCTGTGTTAATGACGGAGAAATTGTTATATGAAAGGTTGTAACCGGTGGTTTCAAAATGTGAATGAATGGATGAGTGGCTGGGTTTAAGTAGTGGATGATCAATTCTGTTAGATACTCTTAAATGTTCAGACTCTAGTTTTTAAGTGGTGTTTTGTTCTGCCAATGTACATGACCTAACAGTCAGTCACTACATGTATATATTTATACACGAGCCATGAACATCGAAGTTTAGATGGTTGATCTTTGTATTGAAATCAGTTTTTAATGTGAAAAGCAGGTCTATATATTAGTCAGGGCAAAAATTTGAAAAAGACCCATTTTATTTGGGTTAGTGAAAGGTGTGTTGTAGAAAAAATGTAACTTGCTGCAATTATTAACAAATGCCTCAAACTTTCAACCAATTTTTTGCCTTTAGTAAAAAGTGATGTTTTTGTGTCCCCCGTCTTTCCCGATAAGGTATAACAACAGACTATTTGGCCCATTATGTTATCCCACTTCCTACCACCCTACTCTGAGCTGCATATAGAAACCCCTTCTCCTATATTCAATCATAATTTCTAAAATACTAAATTTCTTTCAACGTTGCACCATATATGACATCTGAAGGCAAAATATTCCATTATTTTCCTATTGATAAAGTATTACTAATGAAAATGTCCTCTAAATTTATGGATTCCAAACAATTAAAAATTTTAAAAACATCATTCATGTCCCTCCCCAAAGTCCCTTTCCTCTCCAACAAAAGCACATCAAGAGATTTCAACCTGCTGCCATACTTTAACCCCTCCAAACTTAGAATCATTCTGATAGCTCTCCTCTAAGCTTTTCCAACAAAACAACATCCTTTCTTAAACAACAGGTCTATTTTCAAAATTTTGAAAAAATTAATAAACAGATTATTAAAAACTAAAAATTATACTACTTTGGTGGGGATAAATTTAGAATAAGATATACGTTTTGGTTCCTTTTTTATTTTTCAAATAGGTGGCAATAACATGTTGAAATGAATGCAAAGACTACTTGAACAATATCTTAGCTTCCAAAATTTCAGCTATGAAGAGATACTTACAGACTTTAAAACTTTTCTCCGACATACAGGAGAACTAATATTATATTACAAATAACTTGCAGATCTATCAACACTCAGCCACTGAATGTGAGACTCATGAATCTCAGCCTATTCTCATACTTAAACTAATTAGAAAACAATGTGTTTAGTCAAATTAGCAGTTTTCCATAATGCATTGTAGTTGTTTGGTTGGTTGGATCCACATTAAATTCAGCATTACACTGATCCCAAAAATATAACAGATTACAACATTTTGATTCTATGCTTGCATGACTTTACCACATTTCAAAAAGTCTTACTTAAATAGATTCCTAACAGTTGATAGCCCTGGAACTTGTTTCTGATGTTTCAAACTGTTAGGAGTTTGAATAAATTGTCTATTTAAAAACGGAAACTTGAAATTGAATGAAATTTACATACTTGAAAGTTTTGAAAGCCTCAACTGAAATTTGTTCTCTAACATATCACCTTTCCTTAATGTATTTATGAACTCACAATTTGGTTTGTCTAATAATGTAATTTCTAATCTTGTTTGAAATTAGATTAGATTTTTGTTTCATAAGTACCCTATACAACAGGATGTAAAAGCTTTGATCATCTGGTTTAGATTAGGTTGGTTGCTTTGGTGTGTGGATGGCTAAGCTTGATTGGTTGAATATCTATTGTTCATTTTACTTGTTCTCATCAGTTTAAATATTCATCCCCTACTATTAAAATGTTAGCCTACTTACTTACTCTTTAACTCTCTTAGAGCAGAAATTATTTAATCATAATCATTCATAGTAAAACTAAAACTTAAGTTTCGTAGGGTATGATTGCTATAAAAAATAACACTTACCTTCATTTTTAACGTTACTGACAGGCATTTTTACAATGAATACTAAATGGAAAACGTAGCCTAAATCAGTTATTGAGTTAAGTACAAGAAACTGGATAGATTATATCACGATAATCCTCGATAGTTCATACTACGGTAATAACTAGTCTACAGCACAAACGCCGTCATAAATCCTGATATATAATATGGCCTATGTTCTGGTTAGGCAATAAGTTGAACAACACAACTTCTGTTTAGGAGAAGCCTTAGTCAATACCACAGGGATACACTCAACTACCAGTATCATCAGTACTCGACATCAGCCATTGGAAATTAAATTTTGATATTAATGTTGGGGAATTTATTTTACAGTGTCTCTCTAACAAATAATAATAATTCAGTAATTGTCATAAAACGACATTTGTAAGAGTTTATATACATTAATTATTTTTATTTGTGTTAAATTTCGGAGTTAAAAATATAAAACGATACATAAGCCTAAACCTAAAGCCGTTCGTTACAATAACCAGTTTCGTATCATCCGGTCGCTATGGCGGCAATTAGTCACGTGACGTTAAAATGCCTCACCTAACTTTCGGCACACTGTTTTAACCATTATTTATTTAAATTCATCCATTCACAGTTTCACTACAGTTTGATGTATTTTATACAGAAATTATATTATTTCTTCCTGCAAAAAATAAACTACAACCATTTATTTGTCTCAGATAAATCTGAACTTTTCCTAGTGTTCAAATGCGTTTTATTTTAAGTTCATTGTATTTTTGAAAATAACCTTTTTTATTTACCCCGATTTATTTTATATGTTTCTTGTACCCAAGATACGATAGGTACTAAAACTATCGTCATGCCACAAGTTTTAGTCCCTCTATATTCAGTAATAACTCAAAATGTAAAAAAAAAAAATCAATTAGCAGTTGCAATGAAGCTCTATACGACACAATGAGGTCTCAGCGGAGACTTAAATGACGAAATAATGATATCCACGGTGAGAATTTAGGCTAATACATATTTCATTCCCCGAAGGGGACTGACTGAAATACAACCAGGGACGATCAGAAACTTCAGTTTCTCTTCACCTCACTACGTGAGTTAAGAATAAGATTAATTGCCAGCCAAGTTTAGAGAGTTTTGGATTATCGTGGGGAAGTTTACTAATTAATTTAAAAAAAAAATTGATATTGGGCTAACTGGTGGGTATGCCTCCAGACATCAGGAGAAGCTGTAAGGAAATTTGGAAATAAGACGAAGGAAGGGGGAGTTTCTTGATGACCACACGAAATAATGTTTTTGTCTGTCTTCATTTAAACTTATCATACTTTTAATAATAGGTAGGCAAACAACAGCATAATGAAAAAGTTTTATTGGTGGTGGAACATACTACATCTTTCGATAGGACATTGGTCTGTCTTCCTCAAGTATGATCAGTACAAAAAAAAAAACAAAAAAACTAAACATGGCAGGAATTTAGTTTGAAGTAAGAGAGAACAACCTGAAAGCTTCTGGCTCTTCTCAACTTGGGTGTTCAGGAAACAATCGTCCCCATTCAAACCCGCGCGTGAGAACGAGTTGAATCGTTATTATTTTTAAGTTAGAGTGCGTAGATTACATTTATTATAGTTGTATTGACGGAAAACTCTGAAAGAGGCCAGAGAAGGCATGAGGATCTTGACACAAGCTGATCAGTACTAAGAAATACAGGGTTTATATATCTTACAAAGACAAAGGACACAGGGATTAAATGTGACGGAAATGGTGACAGGATATAGGTTGAGGTCAAGCCTGGTCAAGTTTATGAAAGGTGAATAGACCTTGTCAAATACAGCTGATGTTGCTAGGGCTATTATCACGGTTTAGTGAGAGATCATTTGCTTTGATGATTTCTATAGTTTCTAAACGGTCTCTCTTTTTTTTCTCTCTCTCTCTTTTTTTAGTTTTGGGTTAGTGTAGGAGAAGAATTTCATCTCAAAATATTTTGTTGCCAATTTCATATTGATAATATGTTACGCGGATACCTGAAATTCACCTCTATGCACATGACCTTGATGTTCTTTGCGTCGTATTTCTGAAGAAACGTTATATTTTTCCTATATATTTCTTTCAACATTCTCATGGGATACTGTATATGCCCTGTTTTTGTTGTTTTAAAGGGATTCTTTAAATGTTAATTTTATATGAAAGTTTGAATACCGTTTTACATCAATTAGATCTTATGTGTAGTGACATGGTGGTGGAAAGTATCACGACATTTTACTGCCAGCACATAATTATGTTCTCAAAACAAAACATTTCCTAGCACAGTGAGCAACATTATTCACAAAAAATACAGTGACCAAATAAACTATCGCACTAAACTTGATTAAAAATAAAATGTAGTTAATAAAATAATTGAATAAGTTGCTGGAAAAACAGAATAATAAAGTAATTGAATAATTTGCTAGGGGGGGGGGAGGCTATCACTATATAGCAAATACATACACTATTATTGATGTTTGCACGGGTACAGTTTTTATGACGTAATATTTTCGTGTTCAAGGTATTCTGACAGTATAATGTTTGCCTTCATAATATTCCGATAATATAATTTCTATACATGTAGAAAACCTTAAAATGAAATAATTATTTGCTTCATCCCTTTGCCGACAGCTAATGTCGTAGAATTGTGACGGAATGGGGTTTCCTGTATATACCGGCGGCAACTTTATTATTTTCTTTTTTTAAATTCACATCTAAGAAGGGAAGACAACTGTTGGATTATATTTCGTGAGTGGAAATTATGACATTGGGTCTTAATGTGTTTAAAAATTAAATGAAATTGAGTAGTGTCTCTTTCCCATGTCACAATATACTGTCTACTTATCTTAACCAGATTTCAGGTTTTTTGAATCTATGAATTTGTTTCAAAACAGTTCTTCTTCTAGAGTGGACATGCAGAGGTCACTAAGTGTAAGGGAGAGGGGATCCCATCGCTAATCTGTTAAGTTTTTTTACAACTACATCGCCCCCTGTTTATAGATCTTAACCAAATTTAGCATGAGAGTTTGTTGGGTCCATGCGGGGATACAAGATAAGTTGCGGTTTCGCATTTTGTGTTTTGCAGTTTTTGTGGGCATTTTTATAATTACATATAAGAGAAGCAACTTTCATGTCCTAAGATAACCTTTCATTAATTACAAATTTACATAACTTCCGTCCAGGGGACAGGTACTCCAGCTAGTGTCAAATAAGTATTGTTTAAGCAGTACTCTGTGTGGTTGATAAGGTGTTCTGTTACAGGATTGTCTTCTAATTTTTCTTTTAGACAGTGTAAGGCTTGTTCAAAAGGTATTGAGGTAAATAAAGATTTTATGTTGAAAGATACTAATATATCTTCTTAGTTTAATTTGAAGTTTTTGATTCTATTGACAAAGTTTGGAGAGTTTTTTAGAGAACAAGAGCTGGTTTCAAGTGGAGAGTTTAATATCTTAACTAAGAATTTATTAACGTTTTGTAATGGTGAGCCTATGCTAGATACTATAGGTCTGTCAAGAATGTTGTCTTTGTAAATTTTGGAAGGGCGTAAAAAAGAAGAGGGAGAGGATAATAATGTATGGGAATAAGGGAACTTTTTTCTTTAGCAGTAATGATAGGGCAACCTTTAACTAATTTTTAATGTTTGAAGTAACTTTGTCGGTATGATCAACTTTGAGTATGGGGTAAGATGCTTCATTTAATAAGGTGTTGACAACTACTTTATAACGTGATTTATCTACAACTATAGTGCAACCGCCTTTTTCAGCTCTTTTTATATATATCTTATTGTTAGATTTTAATTATTTTGTGGCGTTGGCTTAATTTCTGTTAATGTTAGGTTTTAATTTTTTGTCCTTGTATTCTGTAAGTCTATAGTATATGTTAATTCTGAATTTTTCAGCTTCATTGAGATTCAAATTAAAGGAGTTGATGCTAGATTGTGTGGTAGGAAGAAATTGTTCGATAGGTACATTTTTAGGTTTAACAGCAAAGTTTAAGCCTACGTTTAAGACAGAAATCTGATTATCAGTTAATAGTTCACTTGACATATCTAAAACTGAAAGAGGACGATTAAAAGTTTGGAAAATTTTCGCCCCTTCTTTCTGGTTTTCTTTTAGCTCATGGGTTTCTTGTTTTGGTTGGCTCTTTTCTTTCTGCAGTGTTGGCTGATCTAATCCAGTTGGAGAAGTCAAGTCTGTTCCAATCTTCGGGAGTTAACTTGTTAGTAAGTTTGCTTGTTTGTTTGTTTGAAGTTCAGCACAAAGCCACACAATGGCTATCTTTACTCTGCCCACTATGGGTTTCTAGTGTTATAAGTCCTCAGACACACCGCTGTGCCATTTATGTTAGCAAGTTCTAGATGTTTCTAGGTATATAAAACGTTGCACGTAGTGTTTTTGTAGAATTACTTGAAAGCTAGCATGCGGTCCTGCAGATAGGCTTAAAATTCAAGACTGGTAGGTATAAGTGAAATTACTCGGCAGATTTCACTTTGCTCCTTGGATTAACTAGTTGGAGAAGAGGGAGAGCAGTTGATAGCCACGATTCTGTTTGACAATGCCCTGAATCACCAGTTTTTGTCTTGAAAAATTAGAATAGAAAACCATAATCGATATCATACTCATACTGAAGCTGCGAAAATTCCCGCACCTATGGGCCCGAGCCCCGAATCTTTTAAGCACCTAGCAATACCTCTACAGAGAAACTTTAACCTAATTCAGCATACTGTGAATCCAGCATTTGGTGAGCGCAGTTTAATTTCTTTCAAATTGAAACCGTCATATCTAAGTCTAAGAGATAATCTCGCGCATCGTCCTTATGGCCAGCTTGCTCTATATCGTGTGTACAGCCTATTTGTAGAGTTAAGCTAGCTAGTTTTCTCTTTTAAGCCAATAAAGGCAGACAATAGGTTTTTTTTTAATATTTTAAAGTTGGAATTGATCGTTCTGCTCTTAAAGCTGAGCCGTTAGATTTTGTTCTATATTAAGTGTTTTAGTTCTGCCTCCTTGAAAATAAACACTGTTCATTTGAGAAAGGATTTAGAATTGTTTAATTCCTGCTCTTGCAGACTTCGCCAAACACTTTTAAATCGACCTACACATTCAATATAAATTTTTAATAAAAAAATTGTCCTTCACCAAAGTCTACTAGACGAGTGATGTATGCGATATTTTCAGGTAAAACCGACTTCCCGACAAGTATTAGATAGGCAAACCCGCAAATACCAGCAACTTCGATCAAGACATAAGGGAAATGTTATGTAACACATAACTTGACTGAGTTCCTTTAAGTGTAAAATAATGAATCTTGACAAATTTGAACAAGTGAACAAAACCTTTGTTGCAACAAATGAACGAAAATAGACGACATTACAGTCCCATCGACTAAGCTGTGTTTATCTCCATAGTATAACTAAAACACGTTGTTCTTGAAAGAAGTCTTCATTTTAAGATGTCCTAATTGAAACTGACTAAGGAAAGTGCGCCTTTAATTCAACAGGAAAACTTGT